GTCACGGGTCATCGTCGTTGTGGTGCTCGTGCGTGACGAGGGGCGCTCGGTTTGGCGGGAGACGGGCTCGGATGCGCTGCCAGCGGCCCGGAGGCCAAATGATGTGAGACGCACGGCCGTGCAGCAGCGCCAACGACACCTTGCCGCAACAGAAAACAAGACACAGACATTGTTGAGTCACATCATCAAGACCGCGACGTGCCCAAAACAGTACGTCGCCATTGTTGCACTTTACCGCTGACTTTTAAATCTTCTGTTAGATTAGTTTCTCAGGAGCAACAATAATGTCCCGGGCTCAATTGGACCCAAGCGGCGTGTGTGCAACTCAATGTTAAAAAATAAATAAAAATTGCCAATACATTTTATGGGTGAATTTGCATTTAGAGGAGACAGCTGTCATGTAGTACCACGTTGTGCCACAACAGGCTGAGCGGCAGCACTGAGATCTACCATGGAAGCCCTGCGAATAGTGAAAATTTATGCCGAATTGGGGGAATCAGTGAAGGTTGAGTGTCAATGCAGAAAGTTCAGCACTGTTGCTACTCTCCCCAGGAGGGGCTGTCAATGAGATAATGAAACATTTGTGAATGCCAGTTAGACCTGCGCAAATCTCCGGCTCATGCCGAAATCTCTGTGAAGCAAAAACGCCAAACAAGAATGGGGTGGGGGAAACAGACATTGATTGAGGTTTGAAGTTTGCAAAAGAGAGCCTGGTGGTTCTTATTTTTCCTCCAAATCCTCATAAACCACTTTTACATTTTCACAACCCTATGTTCATACCGGTACACACTATTTAGTATTATTCATTATTAAATCAATATGCCGTTAATTCACTTAAAGAGTACACAAACCAAAACGAAAGGACAACAGCTTCTTTTATGTCTTAATAGTGTATGTGACCGTTTGACCTCAACATCATTGGAGTCCATTCATTGTGTCCTAGATGCCAAAAGCTAGCCGCGTGGCTAAAGAGAGTAGATTAAGTTAATTATTTCATAAATAAAATGTCAAATAATGGATAGACTGAAAATTACGCATACGTCATTTTACTCTCAGTTATGTCAGCTTTGACCGCATAATATCTCAGTGACAACTAACTCGTAAACTGAGTTAAATTACACGCATGCTAATACGACCACACTCACCAGCATACGCTTCAACTTCCTGATGCCGCAGGGGAAGTCCACTCCGGGTCCTAAAGCCCGTTCAAACTGTGCGTAATGTCTCAACCTCGCACTTTTTTGTCTGTTGATAAAAATTCTGACAACGTATTCCCACTTTAGAGAGTACATGAATAATAGCAACATTTCTTTTAACTTAACAGTAGTGCACACAAATTGAGTCAAGCTGCCTGCCGAAAACGTCATAAATTGTGTATATTGTGCGACCTCTGTGATTGGTCATTTTTGCGCTGTTTTGGACACGTGGTGCAGCAAAATGGCTGCCAGCGTCAGTGGCGATGATGGTTTGTTTAACATTTAAGAGTGCATTTGTGTCCTTTTAAACATATTTTACATTGTTTCGGGGATTTGTTTGATTAAAGTCAACTCGCGGGAAAGTTGGGGAGCAAACCAATTGGAGACATCCTTTACAACGCTTCCGTTTTCGACATCTTTAGCTGCTAGTGCTAGGATAAGCTAACGCTTCAGCTTTCACAAAACTAGATCGACGGACATCGTCCAATTTGTTGTGGGTTAAGCTTTAAGCTATATTAATGTAAAGCATTGCAAATAACAGCCTCAACCCACTTACCTTTCCTGGATAAACAAAGCCAGGGGTGGAGGGGGGGGGGATCAAAATGTCACGGGCAAAACGTGAAGCCTTCTATAGACACGAGAAAGGACATGTGGGACGTCATGCACGTCTTGAGCATGACGTCTCTGAACCACTGAGGAAAGGAGACTTTGATTCTCTCCTCTTTCATCTGTAATTGCTTCAAACAAGACGCAATCCTGGAGTAGTTGTTCTGTAAAGTGCTTTGTTACAGCTGCAGCTGTTGCGAAAGCGCTCTATGAATAAAGATGTCTTGTATTGTAAATGAGAGAGATAAAACGTCCACAGTTCGAATACAACCAGGATGGCGGCTGCTAAGAGGTTTTTCTTAACTGCTTTTCTGCCTGAAAAACAGCTTTGTCTTATAGTCAAGCGATCGTGTTTTATGCTCACAGCAGAGCAGAGTTCATGTTGTTTTAAATAATAGACTGTGTCCATTCTGCAAGCGCAAAATAACATGTTTACTATCTTACGGTCTCAGGTGTGGACCACATCCTGGAGCCGCTGTGTTTTCCAGAGCAGCCTCATGCTACTTATTCCGACGATCCCGCCTGCCATCCTCCCGGTCCGCACTGCGGTGGCGCAGAGACGCTGTCGTGTCTCTTCTGCTCAGAGTCGCTCCCTCTGATGCACAAGGACGTCCTCCTCAAACATCTCCTGCTGCAGCACAAGTTGGTCATCGCTGATGTCCAACTCATTGCACACCTCCCAAAGTAAATGTCGCACGCACGTCTCACGTATACTGCACGCTTGTGTCTTATCTACGGAAACAAACTCATTCGCTGCCGTGGGGGTCAAAACCACACACATCAAATGTTGCTCAATTTCCTGTTTTTCACAAATCTTGACAGTTGATCATGACTTGAAATAATTTTTTTAAATTCCTGTGTAATGAACATGTCACATTTCTCTCATACCCTGTGTGCAGGTATCTACTGTACTGGAAAGGCCGCACAAATCTTGACAGTTGTTCATGACTTGAAATAATTTTTTTAAATTCCTGTGTAATGAACATGTCACATTTCTCTCATACCCTGTGTGCAGGTATCTACTGTACTGGAAAGGCCGATTCTTGGAGCAGCCAATCACAGATTTCTGCAGTGAGATCAAGACCAACTCCACCGGGCCTGTCGGTGAGTACACAAAAGTGTGTGTGTGTGTGTGTGTGTGTGTGTGTGTGTGTGTGTGTGTGTGTGTGTGTGTGTGTGTGTGTGTGTGTGAGACAAAAGACCTCAGTACACAAAATGTGTGTGTGTGTGTGTGTGTGTGTGTGTGAGACACATGACATCACGAGAACATCCAATGACCCTCCAGAGAAACAGGAGCGTTACTTCCTGCTGTGTGACGTCCTTCCGGAAGACCGCGCCCTGCGAGAGAAGCTTCAGCAGAAACGTCTGGTGAGAACCACCGTGACATATTTGGGCCTCTCAAGTTCTTTTTCTTCTCCTGTGGTGTCCTATGTCTGACTAATGACAGGCTTTGTTTTCTCACTGTCTTGCGGGACGTCTGTCTGAGCGCATGATCTTTCCTTCTTGTTTGCGTCATCAGGAGGAGGTGCTGGAGCAGCAGCAGAAGGAGCGAGAAGATCGCAGCTTCCATCGCGTGTGCATGTTTTTTTCTGCCTGAAAAACAGCTTTGTCTTCTAGTCAAGCGATCGTGTTTTATGCTCACAGCAGAGTTCATATGATGTTTTAAATAATAGACTGTGTCCATTCTGCAAGCGCAAAATAACATGTTTACTATCTTACGGTCTCAGGTGTGGACCACATCCTGGAGCCGCTGTGTTTTCCAGAGCAGCCTCATGCTACTTATTCCGACGATCCCGCCTGCCATCCTCCCGGTCCGCACTGCGGTGGCGCAGAGACGCTGTCGTGTCTCTTCTTCTCAGAGTCGCTCCCTCTGATGCACAAGGACGTCCTCCTCAAACATCTCCTGCTGCAGCACAAGTTGGTCATCGCTGATGTCCAACTCATTGCACACCTCCCAAAGTAAATGTCGCACGCACGTCTCACACGTATACTGCGCGCTTGTGTCTTATCTACGGAAACAAACGCATTCGCTGCCGTGGGGGTCAAAACCACACACATCAAATGTTGCTCAATTTCCTGTTTTTCACAAATCTTGACAGTTGATCATGACTTGAAATCATTTTTTTTAAAATTCCTGTGTAATGAACATGTCACATTTCTCTCATGACCTGTGTGCAGGTATCTACTGTACTGGAAAGGCCGATTCTTGGAGCAGCCAATCACAGATTTCTGCAGTGAGATCAAGACCAACTCCACCGGGCCTGTCGGTGAGTACACAAAATGTGTGTGTGTGTGGGTGTGTGTGTGTGTGAGACACATGACATCACGAGAACATCCAATGACCCTCCAGAGAAACAGGAGCGTTACTTCCTGCTGTGTGACGTCCTTCCGGAAGACCGCGCCCTGCGAGAGAAGCTTCAGCAGAAACGTCTGGTGAGAACCACCGTGACATATTTGGGCCTCTCAAGTTCTTTTTCTTCTCCTGTGGTGTCCTATGTCTGACTAATGACAGGCTTTGTTTTCTCACTGTCTTGCGGGACGTCTGTCTGAGCGCATGATCTTTCCTTCTTGTTTGCGTCATCAGGAGGAGGTGCTGGAGCAGCAGCAGAAGGAGCGAGAAGATCGCAGCTTCCATCGCGTGTGCATGTTCTGCAATGACGAGTTCACCGGCAACAGGTCGGGTCATCGTGACTGTCAAAACCAAATCACAAACAAAGAGAATTACACCAAATCACAAACAAAGAGAATTACACGTTGTGGATTTGAAACAACCATCTTGCATACATTTGTTGGGTAACAAATATTCCCAATTTAAGAAGAAATAAATACAAAGGGTGAGACACACCGACTCCTTTAAAACACCTCAGACCAAAGAACAACTTATCGGACAATTTTATAAGCCATAAGATAGCATGGTGTTTGTCTTCCTTGGTCGGGACCAAAAAAATAAATCAAAAATAGAGCCCGATTAGCCAAAGTCAGCGTCTTCAAAATCATCTCTGCAATT